TATATGTGTGTGTGTGTGTATATATATATGTATATGCATGTGTGTGTATATATATATATTTATATGCATATATATGTGTGTGTGTATATATATATATATGTATATGCATATTGTGTGTGTATCAGTCAGAGTCAGAGTCAGAGTTTCTTTATTGTCATTCGCACCTCATGTGGTACATGTGGTGGAGCGAAATTATGTACACAGGGTCCCAGTTACATCCAACAATAAAATGTATAAGAAAAACAGTAATAACATCTAAGATATGAACTAAGAAAAACATCAACTAAATATACACTAAGCACTCATAACATAAAACATTGAACATCACCACATTGAACATCATGTGTATATATATATATATATATATATATATATGTATATGCATATATGTGTGTGTGTATATATATATATATATATATATATATATGTATATGCATATATGTCTGTGTGTATATATATATATATATATATATACGTATTTGCATATATGTGTATATATGCGTATATGTGTATATATATATGTGTGTATATATGCGTATATGTGTATATATGCGTATATGTGTATATATGCGTATATGTGTATCTATATATATATATATGTGTATATACACAGGTCCTTCTCAAAAAATTAGCATATTGTGATAAAGGTCCTTATTTTCCATAATGTAATGATAAAAATGAAACTTTCATATATTTCAGATTCATTGCACACCAACTGAAATATTTCAGGTCTTTAATTGTTTTAATACTGATGATTATGGCATACAGCTCATGAAAACACAAAATGCCTGTCCCAAAAAATTAGCATATTTCATCCCACCAATGAAAGACAAGTGTTTTTAATACAAAAAACATCAACCTTCAAATAATCATGTTCAGTTATGCACTCAATACTTGGTTGGGAATCCTTTTGCATGAATGACTGCTTCAATGCGGCGTGGCATGGAGGCAATCAGCCTGTGGCACTGCTGAGGTGTTATGGAGGCCCAGGATGCTTCGATAGCGGCCTTAAGCTCATCCAGAGTGTTGGGTCTTGTTCTCTCAACTTTCTCTTCACAATATCCCACAGGTTCTCTATGGGGTTCAGGTCAGGAGAGTTGGCAGGCCAATTGAGCACAGTAATACCATGGTCAGTAAACCATTTACCAGTGGTTTTGGCACTGTGAGCAGGTGCCAGGTCGTGCTGAAAAATGAAATCTTCATCTCCATAAAGCTTTTCAGCAGATGGAAGCATGAAGTGCTCCAAAATCTCCTCATAGCTAGCTGCATTGACCCTGCGCTTGATAAAACACAGTGGACCAACACCAGCAGCTGACATGGCACCCCAGACCATCACTAACTGTGGGTGCTTCACACTGGACTTCTGGTATTTTGGCATTTCCTTCTCCCCAGTCTTCCTCCAGACTCTGGCACCTTGATTTCTGAATGACATGCAAAATTTGCTTTCATCCGAAAAAAGTACTTTGGACCACTGAGCAACAGTCCAGTGCTGCTTCTCTGTAGCCCAGGTCAGGCGCTTCTGACGCTGTTTCTGGTTCAAAAGTGGCTTGACCTGGGGAATGCAGCACCTGTAGCCCATTTCCTGCACACGCCTGTGCACGGTGGCTCTGGATGTTTCTACTCCAGACTCAGTCCACTGCTTCCGCAGGTCCCCCAAGGTCTGGAATGGGCCCTTCTCCACAATCCTCCTCAGGGTCCGGTCACCTCTTCTCGTTGTGCAGCGTTTTCTGCCACACTTTTCCCTTCCCACAGACTTCCCACTGAGGTGCCTTGATACAGCACTCTGGGAACAGACTATTGGTTCAGCAATTTCTTTCTGTGTCTTACCCTCTTGCTTGAGGGTGTCAATGATGTCCTTCTGGACAGCAGTCAGGTCGGCAGTCTTACCCATGATTGTGGTTTTGAGTAATGAACAAGACTGAGAGTTTTTAAAAGCCTCAGGAATCTTTTGCAGGTGTTTAGAGTTATGTCGTTGATTCAGATGGTTAGCTTAATAGCTTGTTTAGAGAAACTTTTCATGGTATGCTCATTTTTTGGGACAAGCATTTTGGGTTTTCATGAGCTGTATGCCATAATCATCAGTATTAAAACAATTAAAGACCTGAAATATTTCAGTTGGTGTGCAATGAATCGGAAATATATGAAAGTTTCATTTTTATCATTACATTATGGAAAATAATGACCTTTATCACAATATGCTAATTTTTTTAGAAGGACCTGTATATATGCATGTATGTATATCTGTATATATATGCATGTATGTATATGTGTATTTATACAATATACAATGTCATCTCCATAAGGTTGTTTTCTGTCTCCTCTGCTGTTTTATAAACAGCATGTGTCATCACACTGACTGATAATTTCTATAATTCTCATTTCAAACGGTTACAATCGTTGAGTCAGCCAATTACCAAAGCTGGGTTTTTTTTACTTTTTTTTTTTTCAAATGAATTGTGTTTTATGCTTATATTCTTCAGAATGTGGCCTTAGTTTATTAGTAATAGCTGAATGTACTATGTTTAAATGACTGTGCAGCTTTAATCATCTGGAAGAAAAAGACACATTATAAAATGGATTTAAACCTGTAGCTTATTAAATACTACAATATTGTAGAATCTCAATTTTCAGTTGATTGGTTTAGTTATAAACTCCTGAATATTCTTAATTTTAATACTAAAATCAAGATTTAACTTTAATTTTTTAAATAACGCGTGGGAGAAACTAAACTCAACATGTGCTCCCAAGCCCCAGTTTTTGTCTCTTCTGTTCATCTCAAGTCTTTTATCTTACTTTTCATTCATCCGTCTCTTTTGCTGTCTGTCCACAGTTGCTTCCTGTCCCTCCTGCTGGTGGCTGCCGTGGTTTGGAAGATCAAACAGAGCTGTTGGGCGTCGCGGCGACGAGAAGTAATATCAAAACTTATGCTTACAACACATGGTGATTTTTAGCTGGTACAACCACAAATACATTTGTTTTTGATATTGTTCAATTCTTCTTTTCAATGCATTATAAAAATATTGAACAGAAAATGTATTGAATATAATTTGAATTGTGCATACATACTTACAAAGAAATGCTTACAAACCAACCAACCAGTTTGATCTCAGCCAGTCAGCTGTACAACACATAAATGCCCACAAAGTCCGGTTCTTCCATTCCATCCTCCTCACAACCACCTCGGCTTAAAATGAAAACAAAACCTTGCAGTGCGCTTACATTTTTACATTAGTTATAATGTACAAATTACAACATTCAGCTATTTCTCTATATATCACACACACTCACAAACACATGCACTAGGGGTTGAATCGACTAATGACAAAATATATTTTGTTAGCAAAGAATAGAGTCTGTTGTTACAACAAATAAAAAAAGTGCTCTGACAATCGATAAAACTAAAAAAATGTTAAAGTAAAAGAGGAAGAGGGGCAGGTAACGCTCTTGCTTTGACTTTATTCTCTGTCGCATGCGTGCTGTGGGTGACAAGTGTCCAGAGCGTCACCAGCTGAGGAGGTGTCACAGCGACACGGTTCAATCACGGCTCCCCAAACAACAAGACAGACATAATTGTTCATAACTTTATAATTAGTGAGTCTGAGAGTTGTCATATTTTACTGAACGCACCCTGACACAATGAGAATGGTACAAAAAAACAAAAAACCTAATCCCTGCCACAAAATTTTCCCCGGGTCACATGCGCCCCCCCCGACATTGCTCCGGGCCCCCCCAGGGGGGTGCGCCCCACCATTTGAGAAGGACTGGTCTAATGCATCTCGCAAGTTTTTATATTTCACGTCGACTAGTCGCAGTCACCACCGCCCCCGTTGTTCCCAGCCCTATTCCACTCAATCCACGTGGTGGATTAAATAAAATAAAACTAAAAACAGCGGGTGGTAGAGCTGTCATTTCTAACATGGCTGCACCCGGCCCGAGCCCAAATAATGTGCTGGATGGGCAGGTGGGTTGGTGTCGGGCTTTTGATTGCGTCAGCGGACGCACACGGCTGACCGGGTGGTGGTGGAATCCACCTCCGCCCGCTCCACTGTTCTTAGCCTTGTTTTTTACGTGCCGCACATTTCTTTCACTTTTGCAGCTTAATAATAGTTTTGGTTTTCCTGTGACTTATTTGCAGTATGTCCAATGTTTTGTTCTTTTTTATTTGTAAATAATAATTGAAGTTTATTTGCTTTTTTTTGCGAATATGATACGGCGTCTAGAGTTCCTATGACATCATCGACTAGTCGACATTGACTTGACTTCTAACATGTTAAAGTTGACTTTAAAAAATATGTAGTCATTAATCCCCTAGTGTGCACCCACATGTATGTGTGTGTGTGTGTGTGTTTTACATCCATACCACACTGAAACATGTCCGATTTCGTCTGAGCTTGGAAGCTAAGCAGGGTCTGGCCTGGTTAGTACTTGGTTGGGAGACCACCTGGGCATACCAGGTGCTGTAAGCTTTAAGGTGGCTCAATTGGTAGAGCTGTCACATCTCCTCGAGAAGGTAGGTCGCTGGATCAAATCTCGGCCAGGAGCCTTTCTGGGTGGAGTTTGCATGTTCTCTCCGTGCATGCTTGAGTTTTCTCCGGGTTCTCCGGTTTCTTCACACAGACCAAAAACATGCATGTTAAATCCTAGGTGAGAGCGAGAGAGCAAATGTTTTTTTGTCTCGTTTGTCTCCATGTGTTTCCGTGATTGACTGGAGACCTGTCCAGGGTGTATGGGGAGAGGAGATTGTAGCAGCTCAGCTCAGACTCCAAACTACAAGCAATACAAATGTTGACAGCTGCCAGCACTAAAGTAGCGCTCTGCTGCTCTTCGCTTAAATATGTGGCGATATGTGTCTTAACGGTGTCTTGTGTTTTTAAAAGGTGCATTTGAATCTGATTATTTAAGTCCTAGTGCCTCATCACTAATGAACCCCACCACAGGTCACAACAAGCCGTTTCTGCCAGTTAGGCATCCATATTTATCTGTGACAACACAGGACAAAAGGCTTTTTTAAATATATTACTAGGCTGCATAACATCACAAATGTCAAGTTCAGTTTTACATGGACTCCATTTCCACATTTATTGCTTTTTTATTTTATGGAAACTGTTCTACTGCTCCTAACTGCATACAAAAGTACTTGGTCTTTTCAGATTCTTATCATACCCGCCTCATCTCCATGCAGTGCTGTAAAATGAATCATTATAATTGAAGAGATTAAAGACAACAAATTTGTGATGTGTGCTAAATGTGAGAAAACCTTTTTAGGAATTTTGCTGTGAAACTCTACAGTAGCTTAGAACACCTGTGATGGTGCATGCATGTGCAGTGTGTCAAGACAAATGATTAAAAAAAGTCAGTGACGTTTTTTTCATGCTGTCAGCTGTCTTTATTGCAACCGTTTGCTTCCCAAGACTGTTCTGATCTTTTCAGCACTGTCCCGCTTGGCTTTATGCTTACATTCATCTTTGATTTCTCCATGTTGCACCATACTTGCATCAGAGGTACAGCAGCCCACATTTGCATCAACTTATTTTCTTATTCAGCCCACTTAGAGCTCCTGTGCAGTGGAAAATGGGAGCTATTAGGGGTGTAACAGGACACAAAATGTGTCAACAGGTAAATTCAAAGTAAAATAAAAACGTAGTCTTAAACATCCAGTTGGAACTGTGAAGAGCTTTTTAAAAGCCAAGTTTAAACTAAAAGTTAAACAAAGACCAAAACTCACTTAAATGAACATGTCCAGATGACAAGATTTAACCCTTTTTGTGTTAATGACCAAAGCACTTATCGTATAATTTTATTAGGAAAAACATTTTAAAATGAGTGTTTGTTTTAAATATGTTGATCTAGACAATGCAAAGTAAATGGAATACAGAACTAGGTAACATCCCTGTGTTAAAAAGCTAAAACTGTAAAATGTGTAACGCTTATATCTAACTAGGTTGAGTCGGGTCCTCTGGATGGATTCTTCTTTGTTGAAACGTTTCATCTTTTATCCAAAAGACTTCTTCAGTCTTACTGAAGAAGTTAACCTTGACTTAACCTTGTTAGATTTATCTACCTGGATTATTGAGCATGCATCAGGACATATAAATGGACTGTACTTATATAGCGCCTTTCTATCTTATCAAGATACTCTAAGTGCTTTACACTACAATCTGTGCCTCATTTACCCATTCATACAGCACTCCACGATATCTATACAAAGACAATCAGTGCTTTTAGATCACATTCATACTCCGATGGGACACACATCAGAGGCAATGAGGGGTTCAGTGTCTTGCCCAGGGACACTTTGGCATGTGGATGCTGGTGGACACCCAACTCTCGTATTGGAGGACGACTGCTCTAACCACTCAGCCACAGCTGCCCATAACACTTATAGTTTCTCAGCTAGGCAAGAGCTAATGTGCTATTCATACATAGGTTGCACTTAACCCCTGGTGACATATTTATTACTGTTTTTAGAGGCCAAAGGGTGTATCAGTGCACAAAAATTGTTTGCTTTGGCTTTACACTACTGCTACCATGAATCTCTGGGAACCAAAATCTTTTCATCATTGCTGATATGAGAAAAAACAAACAGGACATCAATCCCCTGCATGTCAGAAACTGTATATTACTAAGGGAAAGTATAACTTAAGCAAAATTAATATAATTTACTTAACTAAAAAATACATTATTTGTTATTGTGCCATCAGAAGCACAACTGGGCTTCTGATCCACTCCTCGTGCTTACCTTCTAACTAGTTGAAGTTACTTGTGAGTCATCTGTCTTCTCATCCCCTTAAGCTCACACAATCAGAAACAGTATATAATGGATCTTGACTTCCTGCCACCTTATCATGGTGGAGGAGTTTGCGCGCCTGAATGATCCTAGGAGCTCTGTTGTCGGGGGCAATTATAATTGCCCCATGTAGGGTCTTCCAAGGTAGATTGGTCCTATGTGACAGGCCAGACAAAGAGTGATTCACAAGACTTATATGGACAGAAAAAAAACAAGAAACTCAGTGTCCCTTGCTCGGACATGGGTTACCGGGGCCCCACCCTGGAGCCAGGCCTTGGGGAGGGGCTTGTCGGCGAGCGCCTGGTGACCGGGTCTCTACCCATGTCTGGCTCAGCCTGAAGGAGCAGTATGGGTTTGCCTTCCTTTGGACCCATCACCTGCAGGAAGGGCCATAAAAGTCAGGTGCATGATGCCATGGGCAGTGGCCGAAGGCGGGACCTTGGCGCTCTGACCCTGGCTTACAAAAGCTGGCTCTTGGGACATGGAGCATGACCTCTGTGGTGGGGAAGGAGCCTAAGCTTATGTGTGAGGATGAGAGGTACCAACTAGATATAGTTGAGCTCATCTTGATGCACAGCATGGGCTCTGGAACCGATCTCCTTGAGATGGGCTGGACATTATTCCGCTCTAGAGTTGAGGCATAGAGCTGGAGTGAGTTTACTTGTAGCCCCCCAACTTGGTACCTGTGTGTTGGAGTTTTCTTCAGTAGATGAGAGGGTGGCTTCCCTTCGCCTTCGGGTGGGGGGACGGACTATGACTGTTGTTTGTGCCTATGCACCAAACATCAGTTCAGAGTGTCTGGCCTTCTTGGAGTCTGGCAGGGATGCTGGAAGGTGCACCAGCTGGGGACTCCTTTATTTTGCTGGGGGACTTCAGTGCCCACGTGGGTAATGACAGTGTGGCCTGGAGGGCCATGACTAGGAGGAACAGCCTCTCTGATCTGAACCCGAGCAGTGTTCTGTTGTTGAACTTCTGTGCTAGTCATAGTTTGTCCATCAAGAACACCATGTTTGAACATAATGGTGTCCATAAGTGTACTTAGCACCAGGATGCCCTAGGTCATAGATCGCTGATTAACTTCATAGCTGTGTCATCTGATTTGCAGCCGTTTGTTTTGGACACTCGTGTGAAGAGAGGAGCTGAACTGTCAACTGATCACCACCTGGTAGTGAGTTGGATCAGATGGCAGGGGAAAATACTGGATAGACCTGGCAGACCCAAATGTGTAGTGAGGGTTTGCTAGGAACGTCTGGCAGAAGAACCCGTCAGAGAGATCTTCAACTCATACTTCCGGGAGAGCTTTAACCGCATCCCTGCTGAGGTGGGGAACATTGGATCTGAGTGGGCCATGTTCTGCACCTTGCTTGTTGAGGTAGCTGCCTTGAGTTGTGGCCACAAGGATGTCTGTGCTTCTTGTGGTGGCCATCTACAAACTCGGTGGTGGACACCCCGGGTCAGTGAGGCTCTCAAGCTGAAGGAGTCCTATCGGGCCTTGTTGGCCAGTGGGACTCCAGAGGCAGCTGAGGAGTACCAGAGGACCAAGCGGTCCACAGCCTTGACTGTTGCTGAGGCAAAAGCTCGGATGTGGGAGGAGTTTGACAAGGCCTTGGATAGAGACTCTCAGTCAGCTCCGAGGAGATTTTGGCAAACCATCAGGTGGCTGAGGAGGGGAAAGCAGCATTTGGCTAACACCGTGTTCAATGAAGGTGGGGTGCTGTTGTCCTCAACTAGTGACGTCGTCAGGAGGTAGAAGTAATACTTCTCGGATCTTCTCAATCCCACCAGCACATCTTTCATGGAGGAAACTGAGTGGGGATTTTGGGATTGGTCCGTCCATAACCGTGGCTGAGGTTGCCGAGGTAGTTAAAAAGCTCCAAGGCAGCAGGGCTCTGGGAGTGGATGAGATTCACCCTGATTTCCTTAAGGCTCTGGATATTGTGGGGCTGTCTTGGTTGACGCACCTTTGCAATGTCGCGTAGACATCGGGGGCATTGCCACTGGATTGGCACACTGGGTTGGCGATTTCCCTCTTGAAAAAAAGGAATTGGAGGGTGTGTATCAATTATAGGGGGCATCACTCTCCTTAGCCTCCCTGGTAAGATCTATTCAGGTGTACTGGAGAAGTGAGTCTGATCGTTGGTCGAACCTTAGATCCAGGAGGAACAATGCGGGTTCCGTCCTGGCCATGGAACACTGGATCAACTCTTTACCCTCACTAGGATCCTCGAAGGGTCATGGGAGTTTGCCCATTCAGTCTACATGTGTTTTGTGGACTTGGAGAAGGCATTCAATCGTGTCGTCGTTGTATACTGTGGGGGGTGCTCTGTTAGTATGGGATGGGGGGCTCAGTGCTACGGGCTGTTCTGTCTCTATACAAGCGGTGCGAGATTATGGTTCGCATTGCCGGCAGTAAGTCAGACCCCTTCAGGGTGGGAGTTGGACTTCGCCAGGGCTGCCCGTTGTCACAGATTCTGTTCATAACTTTTATGGACAGAATTTCTCATTGCAGCCATGGGGCAGAGGGTTTTCGGTTCAGTGGCCTCAGGATTCCATCTCTGTTCTTTGCAGATGATGTGGTCGTGTTAGCATCATCATGCTGTGATCTTCATCTCTCACTGGAGTGGTTCGCAGCCAAGTGTGAAGCAGTTGGAATATGATTCAGCACCTCCAAATCTGAGGCCATTGTCCTCAACCGGAGAAAGGTGGATTGCTTTCTTCTGGCCGAAGGTGAGTTTCTGCCTCAAGTGGAGATGTTCAAGTATCTCGGGGTTTTGTTCACAAGTGATGGAAGAATGGAATGTGAGATTGATTGGTGCAGCGTCTGCAGTATTGCGAACTCTGTACCGGTCAAGGCCGGATTAACCATATGGGCAACTGGGTAAGTGCCCAGGGACTCACAATCTCTAAGGGGCCCACAATCTCTAAGGGGCCCAGGGCAGTGAGAGCACAAGCACAATCTGGTGATCTACAGCTTTACTTGGAGCCCTGCGCTTCACTGAGAGACCGATGCATTTGGGCAGCCACGCCTCTTCCCAGCACGGCTGCTGCAGCTCTCGTGTTTTTTTTTTTGTTCAATCGGATCCTTGACGTCGCAGCCTGTCAATCAATCCAGAAGGCGTGTCAGCAACTGACCAATCGACAACCTCAATTTGTTGCGAAGGTAAACGCCCCTTACCTGCTGACAAGCCCGTCAGTTTTTTTTTAGAAACTTCTTGTTTTAATTAAAACAATAAGTTTGTGAGATGATTCTAGCAGTTTTGCAGTTTTTTAATCTACTTAATGAAGAATAGTATGACTTAAAATTGTTCATAAAACAGGAAGGAGGGCTTATTATCTCTCCTCTTTGAATGTGTTACTTTGCTATAATTACAACTATATTTATGGCATCTGAGAAAGCTGAGCTTTAGTTATCCACATAAAGTAAAATGGCATCAGCACCAAAAGAAGGAATGTTAAGTTTGAGATTTATCCAGTTTCTGGTCTGACCAAAGACTTTGTATTGACATAAAAAAAAATGCTTGAGGGATTCATCTTCTGATTTACAAAACACACACAAATCAACATTAAATGTAAATCTTTTTCAAGAAACGTGGCTACAGGATATATCTTGTTTATTATTTTTTTATGATTCTCCTTCACTTTAGGAGATTTAGGCCATTTGACAAATTTAGAATGAGCATAAGTCATACTGGTTTTATAATTTATATCGAAGACCCCAATGATGAGTAAAATAAATGGACTTGATGTTCCCTCGCCCGGACGTGGATAACCGGGGCCCCACTCTGGAGCCAGGCCTGGAGGTGGGGCACACGGGCGAGCGCCTGGTGGCCGGGCTTTTACCCATGGAGCTTGGCCGGGCACAGCCCGAAGAATAGATGTGGGTCCCCCTTTCCATGGGCTCACCAACTGTGGGAGGGGCCAAAGGGGTCGGGTGCAATGTGGGATGGGTGGTGGCCGAGGGCGGGGACCCTGCCGGTCTGATCCTCGGCTACAGAAGCTATCTATTGGGAGGTGAAATGTCACCTCACTGGTGGGGAAGGAGCCTGAGCTGGTGTGTGAGGCTGAGAGGTTCCGGCTAGAAATAGTCGGACTCACCTCTACGCATGGCTCTGGCTCTGGAACCAGTTTCCTTGAGAGGGGCTGGACACTCTTCCACTCTGGAGTTGCCCCTGGTGAGAGGCGCTGGCCAGGAGTGGGCATACTTATTGCCGCCCATCTTGGTGCCTGTGTGTTGGGGTTTACCCCGGTGAATGAGAGGGTGGCCTCCCTCTGCCTACGTGTGGGGGGACGGGCTCTGACTGTCGTTTGTGCTTATGCACCAAACGGCAGTTCAGATTATCCACCCTTTTTTGTGTACTTGAAGGGGGTACTGGAAAGTGCACATCCTGGGGACTCCCTTGTTCTGCTGGGGGACTTCAATGCTCACGTGGGCAATGACAGTGAGACCTGGAGGGGGGTGGTTGGGAAGAAAAGCCCCCTGACCTGAACCCGAGTGGTGTTCTGTTGTTGGACTTCTGTGCTCGTCATGGATTGTCAATAATGAACACCTTGTTCAAGCATAAGGGTGTCCATATGCGCTCTTGGCCCCAGGACACCCTAGGTCGCAGTTCAATGATCGACTTTGTCGTAGTCTCATCTGATCTGCGGTCACATGTCTTGGACACTCGGGTAAAGAGAGGGGTGGAGCTGTCCACTGATCACTACCTGGTGGTGAGTTGGCTCCGATGGTGGGGGAGGATGCCGGTCAGACCTGGCAGACCCAAACGTGTTGTGAGGGTTTGCTGGGAACATCGGGCAGAGTCACCTGTGAGACGGGGTTTTAACTCCCACCTCCAGGAGAACTTCGAACATGTTCCAGGGGAGGTGGGGGACATCAAGTCCGAGTGGGCCATGTTCCGTGCCTCTATTGTCGAGACGGCTTACCAGAGCTGCTGCCGCAAGGTTGTCGGTGCCTGTCTCAGCGGCAACCCTCGAACCCGGTGGTGGACACCGTCATTGAGGGATGCTGTCAGGCTGAAGAAGTCCTATCAGCCCTTTTTGGCCTGTGGGACCCCAGAAGCAGCTGATGGGTACCGGCAGTCCAAGCGACATGCGGCTCGGATGGTCGATGAGGCAAAAACTCGGGCATGGGAGTAGTTTGGAGAGGCCATGGAGAATGACTTCTGCACGGCTTCGAGACAATTCTGGTCCACCATCCAGCGTCTCCGGGGGTGGGGGAGGAGAGGCGTACACCACCAACACCGTTTATAGTGGGAGTGGTGCGCTGTTGACCTCAACTTGGGATGTCGTGGGTCGGTGGGCAGAATACTTTGAAGACCTCCTCAATCCCACTGGCACATCTTCCACTGAGGAAGCGGAGCCTGGGGAGTCTGGGTCGGGCCCTCCAATCTCTGGTGCTGAGGTCACCGAGGTGGTTAAAAAGCTCCTCAATGGCAGGGCCCCGGGGGTGGATGAGATTCGCCTGGAGTTCCTTAAGGCTCTGGATGTTGTAGGGTTGTGTTGGCTTACGCGACTCTGCAATATTGCGTGGACATCGGGAGAAGTTCCCCTGGATTGGCAGACCGGGGTGTGGTCCCCCTGTTCAAAAAGGGGGATCGTAGAGTGTGTTCCATCTACAGGGGGATCACGCTCTTAAGCCTCCCTGGTAAGGTCTATTCAGGGGTTCTGGAGAGGAGGGTCACGTAGAACAACACTGTTTTTTTAAAGAGACATGTTCTGACATGATTTATATGTTCTTTTGAATCTTATGTTTGTAAAGTTAAATTTTCTTTTTTTTTAAACTTGCAAAAATACTGTTAGGCAGAAAACAACAGTCGGCCGGAGGCACTACAGCATTGAATTAAGGGCAATGTAGGCCATATGAGTGGTAATTACAATACAGCTGGGGGATGAATGAAAGAAAACCATAAAATGGCGGCGTCTGTCCAAAAATTTTTTGTCAACTTTTTCACATCCACATGAGTTCTGTACAGTGATATTACTGTACAGTGCACAATCGTGTGTAAAAAAAATATATATATACAGTATATGCACAATATTTTGGACTGCTGTACAACAAAAACCGTGATAGAGCGAATCCGCGAAAAACGAATTGTGAAGTAGCGAGAGACTACTGTACTGGTTCTGTGCACCAGTGAGCTCTTGAATATTTAAGGGTCTTCAGACGAGTTGAATCCATTCTGATACACCGCTTCAATGATCTCAGACTAGCTCTAAATTTAACTATTCAGCATGGCAGAAGAGTTTAAAAATAAAGCCACCACAGCTCTACTCACGTTTTCACATGTACACAGCATATTTGAGCTTAATCTTATTGAGTCACGAGTAGTCATATCAAAGAGACCAGCTTTACAGAAAAGGCTCACCATGTTAGATGAGCAGTGATCAAACCCTCAGGGTGAGAGCTGATCAAGGACTTGAAAATGTCCATATTGCCGCAATGATGTGAGAGGCACAGCTTGCAGAAGAGTTATTAGTGGAAAAAGCATGCAAAACCAGAGAATTGAGCACCTGTGAGGGGATGTTTGGACAGTACACCTTCCTCCCAAGGCTGATTTGGCCAAGTTTTTTGCTGGCTGGAATGACCATCCCATCAGGACAGAATGTATCCTTTCCCCAAACCAGTTGTGGGGACCTGGGATGCTGCAACACCCCATCAGAGAGCCAGAGATGTCAAAGGAAAATGTGGCAGGATTCCAAATTGAGGACGTTGATTGGTAGATGTCAGGACTATCCCATCATGCCAACACAGATGTTATTGTGCCAGAAATGGAATGCCAACGATATTGAATCCCTGCGCCACACCATTAATTCCCTCGTGCCTTCATCCAGTTTTGGAAGAGACAAACTCTCACACACTCTGCACCTATATCACCATTAAAGACAGTCATCACTTGAGTCATGGGTCACATGCGGCTGTTTGGTTCCTCTGCAGTGGCTCGTTCAAGCTTTGACCAAAACTAACACAAAACTGAATTTTATTGTTTGTTATACAAACAAAAAAATAAAGTTGGTTTTAGCAGTTTTCTCTTTTCAGTTTTTTGGTCATTTCTTTTGCAAATATGCCATTAGTAATATACTCACTTTAACTTCATTCTTTGTAATGTAGCGGTTTTTCTTTAATTTTTATATCATTCTTCTATTTACTTTTCATTTCACATGATTGTCTATTGTTATGAGTTCCTCATCTGTGCTCTTTGTTTAAAATAGATCTCTCTTGAAAATGAGTCCTTGAGGCTCGGTGAGACTAACCTTTATAAATAACGGTTGAATGAATGTGCATTTATATTTAGAGTCCAAATACATTTAGGATCATATTTTAGTTTCCTTTAAGTGAGGTTACAAACTAGAAAGACCAAGAGCAGAAGTACCCATAACTGTTGGGCTTTAGAACGCACCTGTCTCTAAGCTGCACTTATTAAATATAAGATAAATCATAATTTTGTACAAAAATAAGATGCTCCGGGTATTTAGCCGCGGGCATCTGCCGTTCATCATCAAGAACTTGCCCTCAGTCTGCATGCAGATTTCTTGTTGTAGTACAAAAACCAGCCAGCAGATGGCGTTTCACAGAATATAGCTTGTTCTATTTCGTATAGGCTTCGCCCTTTAAGGCTGTCGCTTAGTGGGTTTATCCCGATATGCAAAGCATCGCACTGAAAAATTTAGTCCATGCCCACCTGCTGTGTGGGCCCCACCCGGTCCGTATAAATTACGTTAAGAGCGGGAAATCGGCTCCCATTTTTCCTTCAGCAAGCTAATAGCACTGTCAGAAGAACGAAGAAGGAAAGTTGTGTAGATGACCAACCTTTGTTAAGAATGCTTGGCCCGGCAGTCTACCTCCAGTCGTCCGATGAGTTCTCCTCCCCGAGGAGAAGCTGACGAGCAGTCTTGTTTCAAGGTAAGCGCCGAGGAATATTTCTCAGTGACAGGTCGCTACACGCTGGACAACGCCATCTTGTAATTTTCCTCTTATCGCCGACCCTCGGAGCGAATCGGATGGTTCCTCCGTGACAGGCGGCGCTCAGCTGCAGCCCCCCGCTGCTCATTCCCTCCTAGAGAGCGTAGTGTCGGTGGAGGGGGGCTGAGTGAATGCTCACCCCATCCCACCTCGTTTCGCATCGGCGATCACACCGCTCCCGGCCGACGGCGCCCTCTGGGGTTGCCCGGCGTAACCCAGGAGGCGGCTGACATGAAGGGACCTTTTTTACGTCCCACGCCTTTTCCCGCCAGTTCGGATGATCCGGCGGGAAGGTTGTTTTTACTAGGTTCCATTCCGGCTCACCGTCTTGATCCATCTGGCCTCGTTTTCCTAACAGGACGTCCTACGGGCGAGGCCACAGACGATTTTTCCTGGTAGATTGGGGGGGCCGGTCTCCACAGTCCGCACCCATCTCCAAAGCAGGGGTTCACCGAGCGGAAAGTCCCTCAGTGCCCCCTGGAGCCAAGCCTGACGGAGGCTTCATTGGAGCAAGATGACGAGGTGGACCAGCGTCCCGTGCCTCCGGTTAGCGTAACTGAGACGGTGACACCGCTCTCCAACTGAGCTCACCAGTATGTGTTCCTCACGGCCGCAGCGAACAACACGTTACGCTGTTGGCGTACACTTTCAGAGGCGGGAAGAGACGGTGGGCCCCTCTGACCTTCGGCTTGCTCCGCTCTCGTAGCGGCTGCTCGCTAACGACGCTATCGGCCCCTGCAGTACGCTCCGTCTACAGGGCAGCTGACGTCATCCCCAACCGGTGCGCCTCTTTTGCTGTCTGCCGCCCCGCATCGCAGCCGGAGACGAGGTCCCAGAGGCTCTCCTGGCTCGTCACTCCACCTTCCTCTCAGGAGAGCTGCAGGAGCTTGTTGGAGGTCCTCTTTTCATCAGCGAGAGATCATTTCAAGATGCTCCACGGCTGCACAACGCCTCCCCAGCTCTGCTACGCCAGCCCCTCCTGTCAGACGTCCCCGGCATCCGGAAGTTCTTTTTTTTTTTTTCCCGGACTTCGCCAACAGGGGGCCCTCTAGGACAACAAACAGAGCTCAAGGGAGGATAACCAGGTGTCGGTTTGCTGGAGATGTGTTGATGACACGATGTGAAATAAACATCATTTTATGATGAAGTGTCTTTTAGCCAGGCTGTCAGCATGGATTATCTGACAAGCGGCCCCATCACACACACTCATCACGAATGAGCCTTTTAAGGTTGTTTTCATTCACTGTCAGCGGTGCCAACACGCGCTCCCGCGGCATGAAAGCGCGCACGCAGCTCTCAGCGCCCGCCGTTCACGTCAACGTTAACGTGAGACCACGGTACGAGCCCAGTAACGTATCTCGCTCTCGGCAGGAGCAACATGCGTTTTTAATCGCAGTGGTGTCAAACGCGCGCTCCCGCGGCGTCAGCAGTTTCACAAGCCTCACAGCGGCTCCGCTCCTTCATCCTCGTAGAAGGTTTTCTGAATTAATACTGCAGCTCATGGAATCACTCAAAGTTCACGTGATTCGCAGCCAAGAATGAACGTGGTTCTGCAGACCAAGCCCAGTGGTAATCTCGCCCCACCGATGCCGCGCACTGCTTCCTGACCGCACCAGTGTCAACGCGCGCTCCCGCGGCAATCCTGGCTTAAGGCATCGCATGAATGAGGGCGCGCACACACGACTCTTCAGGGCACGTCGGCTCATACCTGCACCCGCTCCCCGAACGTTTACACGGATCAGCTGCACACAACGTGAGCACAGCACATGAGCTGCGTCCCGCAGCATCAGCAAACACACAACGATTTGCATGCTCGGGGGTGCGCGTTTTCTTTCTCATTCAACGCGCACCAGCTCACATCAGCATGCATGTGAGTTTCACAGCATAAATGCATGCCCGCTTTATAACTTATAAACGAGTGCCAATGAGCGCGCGCTCCAGACGGATGGGCGAACCGTTTTTCATCCGGGGATTCACGCTACAGTACAGCTCAAACCCCGGTGTGGAGGAACTCTGTGACGTTTTCTGTCATTTCTGAACATATCTCGTCCCCTCTCGCAGAAGTTCAGGAAATTCTGTTTCAAATGTAATTTCTAGAGTCTCAGAAGGAGAGGAAAACGCAAGGTCCCTCTCTCATCACTTCCTGGTCCCAACGAACTGGAAAGATGAGATTTATTCTAGATTTGTCAATTTTTGAACTGTGAGAAACAACACTCCATTAATGTGCCCGAGCCGCTCTGCAGCCGCCGCACAGAGCAGGGGGGAGGATGCTGTTTATCTGGACACCTGCTGCTGCTGAGCAGTTTGTACAGACAGGCGGCAGCAGTGCAACTCACGTGAACCAGTTGAGTGATATCAGCTGTTTTCCGTCAACAGACCTACGTCACACATGTCAGATTTCACAGAGGCACACACATTTAACAAGCTGTGGGGGCGCTGTGGTTCTCCACACAGCAGCTCAATTAAATGTTTTTGGAGTGTCGCACAGGTTCTTTGAATGTGACTCAACACTGACCTTGAACTGCAGAATCATCTGGGTTTTTGATTCACACAGACAGCAAGTGACTGTTGCATACATACTGGCAGGAGATGTATGCGCTCAACCCATGTGCCACTTTGTGAGACAGATGCTGTGTGGGGCACACCCAATCTGCTTTCCATTGAAGTAGGGTACATCTCATGTATTCCGAACAAGGAGCGGATGTGATGTCCAAAGATAGTCCTTTGTGGCACGGGGACCTGGGACCTTCCACCCAGAGCTATGGCTCAGACACGGCAGAAATCCTGCCAGCGCCTGTGGACGTGTAGCAACACGAGAGAATGCTCAATGTCAACTATAATTATCGTGGCGCCACGGGACGATCCACCGCTGGGGTGGACGTGCCTGCTCACAGCCTGTGGTCGTAATGCTTTTTTACCTTTCTCTCTCCCTCTGGTATCACGGTTTTCTAAACCGAGCTTAGGAGGAGGGACTGGCAGCTCCTCTGCCCCAAGTGCGTGAACGCATCATGGTTCCCAGGCCTACGACACTTGTTATCAGGGCGCTCGTGGAACCTGCCGTGGAGGGAGGACGCTCTCCTCCAGGCGGGAGGAAGGATCAGGAGTTTATCAGAATAGGCCAGCACCTGTGGTCTGGCCGCTATGCGGATCTTTTTTAGAGGATAGATCTCTCTCAAGATGTAGTGCGTACGATTCAGGATTCACCTGCTGCAACCACCACAGCGCTGTTCACATCAAGTGGTCAGTTTTTTCAGCACTGCGGTACAGAGAAAGGCGTAGAGGCCACTTCATGTCCACTGTACGACATGCTGTCCTTTTCTGCAGCAGTCGATGGACAGCAATCTGGTGTCAGCATGATTATCGTATGCTGCAGCCATGTTTTCTTCTTGTCTCAAAGTTGTTGGAGACAGAACAACCTTTATTCATCATCTGATGGAGCATTTTGACAGATTGAAATAGCAGCTGTGGGCCTGTTTGTGACACGAGAAAACGCTCAGTGTCAATTATGGTTTTCTCTGAGCCCACGAGACGAACCACCGCTGGGGGTGGATGCGTTTGCCCACAGCCCATGGCCCAAAATGTTTCTGTACGCGTTTTTCTTCACCTCCTCTGATTTTACGGTTCTTGAACCGAGTTCAGGAGGAGGGATTGACAGCTCTCCTGGTGGCCCCCGAACACGTGAGTGCACCATGGTTCCCAGTCCTGCAACGCCTGCTGTCGGGGCGCCTGTGGAAACTGCCGTGGAGGGAGGACGCTCTCCTCCAGGCAGGAGGAGCGACCAGGAGTTACCCAGAAATAGGCCAGCACCTTTGGGTCTGGCCGCTGAACGGATCCGCTTAGAGAGGATGGGTCACCCACAGGATGTAGTGCGCACAATTCTGTTTTCACGTGCTGCATCTACCACAGCGCTGTACACATCAAAGCGGACAGCTTTTCAGCGCTGGTGTACAGAGAAGGGTGTAAAGGCCACCTCATGTCCATTAGGTGGCATGTTGTCCTTTCTGCAGCAGCTGATGGACAGAAATTTGGCGTCCACCACGATTTAAACGTACGCTGCAGCCATCTCTTCCTGCCACGAAAGGTTTTGGAGACAGAACAGGTTTTAATCATCCGCTGATGAAGCGTTTTCTAAAAGGTGTACAGAGACGCAGGCCTGTTTCACACCCACTTGTTCCACAATGGGATTTAATACTGGTCCTACAGGTCCTGATCAAAGCTCCATTTGAGTCTTTGGATCAGGTTCCACTTAAATTCTTGTCTCTTTAAACAGCCCTGCTGCTGGCTTTAACATCCGCTAAGAGAGTGAGTGTTTTATCTGCCCTCTCTGTCGCTCCGTCATTTCTCAGAATTCAGGCTGACGGCAGCTCAGCTGATTTAAGACCAAACCCAGCTTTTATGCCTAAAACATCACTTTTATGCCTAAAACATCACAAGCTCTTTTAAATCAAGAGTGATATCGTTGGAGGGGTCCCCCCCCCCCCCCCCCCCCCCCC